GTGAAAATAAACAGAACGAAAAAAGTTATTTATGAAAGCTCTTCATTTGTTTAGCACTACCGGAGAAGGAAGTATTGTTTCCCAAACATCTGAGGGACGTATTGCACAACGACGCTGCACGGAGTTAAACAAACTTCTATATTTCAAAAACATATTTCACCTATAAAACCCTAACACCACCAAAATTCCTTTGAAACATGTGGGACTCTACAAACAAGATTGCATAAAAATCTCAGATGGTTTCGCTGGGCACTTTTCCGACATTTACTTGAAAAGATTTGTATACTATTGAGAGCAACTTTTTACTTCGCATGTTCAAACTTTGCACTCTAATTTCAAAACGGTACGAGATATCAGATATTTCTTAAAGAGTGTGTTATAATCTTTTATTTAAAACAAAAATCAAATAGATTGGACCACAGGTGACGGAGATAATGGTGTCAAAATTGTTATTTTCCGCCTTCTTTAATGAAATTACAAGACAAGCCCAACCACATTTGACTGCAACCCTAGACTTTTAAAATACTCTCAAACGAAATAATTAAAAAACAAAATAGAAATCGCATCCAAAAGATTTGCATACTACGACTGGCACAGCTATAAGCAGTGAAACATGTCTTTGGTAAAACTAGTGGTGCAAATAGTTTCATATACAACAACAGCACATACTTTTCGCATTGTTTATCAACATTTGCAAATTGTTTTCGAACATTCAGAAAGTTCAACGAAAATAACTTACTTCCTTCTTTCAAGCGTTCTTTATTCTTAGAAAATAAATAAATTAAAAAATAGAACCGTTTCTAAGACTTTTTTTAATAAATTGCAAATAGAAATTACATAAACGTTTTTAAGACAAAAATATATATTATCAATATCAAATTGTCATTATTTCTTACGCCCTTTACCACACACGAGAGAAAATAAATTGGAAACATTTTCGAGGAAATAATTCTTTAAAAAATCTCCTGAATGTGTCAGAACGTGACCTCCCGAACTTCTGTGCATATGGGTTGCCTAAAAATCAGGGGTAAATGTTACATGCGTAACACCGTTATCTGAAATTTCCCACTTCATGTACTCCATTGAGAAAAGTGATCGTTTTTTACCTCCCCACTTGCCTAACAAAGTTTTACCTTTATTTTGAGAAATTAGAATTCTTTTAAGATTTTCCGAGGAGCGGATCTAGAATCTTTTCAACAATGTTTTATGTAAAATATGGGCTGTTCCGAATAAAGTGATGTCGTGCATTTTACAATAATTGAATGACCTGGCAATTTGGACACACTGTAACGTAGATATTGCGGAACAAATACCAGATCTTCGATAATACAAAGTTGCGAAATATTCATTTTTCTGCGACACAGGTTTAAACACGTTTCTGAACCTAATTTTGGTGTGCTGAATTGAAATCTCTCAGCCAATTTTTCATGACATGTATAGATTTTGTGCTGCGCAGAAAATAAAAATTTAGTGTGTTAGTATTTTTTGTTAGTAATCATATTTTGCGATGCTAAAAACACTGTAAAAATTGACAAAATATAATTCTTACTGATACGGTTGTGAAAAATGAATAATGTGTAAGTGTGTGTAATCAATAAATCAAACACACAACACAAATTGTATTTTCTTATCCTTTTCTTATCTTATCGGAATTTATTTTCCTATTCTTTTGTTAAAACGAACTCTGCATCGATTAATGCTGCGAACCGCATTACTATTAATTACTATCTATTTGCTGTTTAATAGTATTAATTATTTGTAATTCCAAACCCGCAAATGTTTATTTGTTCTGATACTAACGATTCATACATAATCTGTATTTTCCGTATAATTTAAACCGACCTAGAATTTCAAATATTAAACCTGGAGAGTGACTCAAGGCATGATATCGCTGCAGTGTCTCTAACATATCATGGAAATCTGCTATTGCAAGAAATAAACAATAAAATACATATACATATAGGTAGTGTACAATTTTGTAAAAGAATGATGGATCTTAGTGGAAATAGGTGATTGCAGATATGACCCATTACACTGACGTTCTGATAAAACTCCTAAACAGCTAGTGCAGATTAAACTACGACGTATGTATAATTTAAAATAATTTTAACCGAACTATACAGCTCAAGGAGAATATCATTCTCTGTTGAGCTGCTACTTATACGCGACTCTTCCAACAATTCCTAATGAGCATTGCACATGGGCCATATTGAAAGACCGCAAGGGCCAGGAAGATTGATTATTTCGTCTTTCCAGGTTCGTCAACTGTTATGGTCATTATTCCCGTATGTGAAGTGCATGTTTTATCACAGGAGGTAGCGGTGGTCTTCCCCCACTGGATGGCGAGATCCATTGTCGACCTACTCGCAGGCTTACGGGGTTTTCCTTATCCAGGTATCTCCCACGAGAAAGACATCGCCCCACCGGGACGAGCTCTAAGCTCCGGACTGGTGTCCCAGCATGTGTAGTAACATAGTGCACGTAAGTGTGCGTGTGTAACTAAGCAAGTAAGGAATGAAGAGAGGACAAAGAAGAGGAAGGAGAGATCGCGCGCGGCCCGTATGTTCCAGCACTTGCCTGATATTGATCGGAGAAACAACGCAAAACTATCGATCAAAGCAGATGGTTGCTAGAATTCGATTTAGCTGTCTACGTAGCTAGTGCACAAAATCCTGCCACCGTAGACTCGAACGCTAGGACTTCCCGATCAGATGCACTGCAGTGACAGTTGTCCTGAGCCACCTCAGCTGGCCAAGGGTCAGGAGGACAGGATGCATCCGAAGTGAGCAGAGCTGGAGCACAGTTTAATCTTACAACGTGAAATGGCCGATGCCCGGATGCCCTGGGCAAACAACCGATATGTTTTCCCCTTATCCCCGACGACGGATAAAATCTGATTTGCCGTAAGTTTCATTTTAAGTAATTTGTAATTAGACTTCTTTGTATTTTCTCTTACGAAAAGTGTACGATCAGCCACTCGGTAATGAACATATGGGGAAATTGTTCAAACGCTGCGACTAATGATTGAAGCAAAATGCAATGTTTCATCGGCTGAACTGATACAAGATCTGCTGCACGAATTTCTTTAACTATTTCCTCCTAAGACACCGAGAACTATTTTAAGAATTTCGTTTTTTATTGTGCTAGAGGTTCCGTTGAAAACAATGGCTTATTGGGAGAACACTTAAAGAATAATGTAATAGTACAGTGAAGTTATTTAGTCCGCTGTCGACTCTTGAATTTCTGGACGATTCGACTGGGTTGATTCGCCATATCCTCTTAATGCCAACTCAAACACACTAAAGCAGGCCTACATAGCATTCTGCACTTGAACTGACTTCGGGAGTAGCTTAAGTGTAAATCCGGGCCGCTTGGATGGGTGGTAATAAGACATTCTAGAAATGGGGATCACCAATGCGAATGAGCTATTCGAAACATAGCGCGTATATTGAAAGAACAATTGCAAAAATACGACCGGCTATTACATACAGTTCAAGTATCATTACCTTTTATTTTGGAAAAGTTTGCTGTTGATGTATGATGATGTGAAATATTTGGATACCAGTATTATAATTGTTTGTAGGACTGATAATGTAATTTGTTTTGATACAATGTATTCGCAAATTAAGTGTACTGGTGTATACAAAATTGTAATATTTAGCCTTTTTTGTTTTATGACAATAAATGCTTTTATTAACTATCATTGATTAAGACTGATCAATCAAAGCTAAAAAATCGTATTCTTAAATCATCATGATTGATTCTGCTCTAATTTCCGTGAAAAGCACATTATATATTTTTATTTCAATTTAACGAACACTATTTATTTATAATATTTTACATCATATAAAAAAGATTAAGCTCTTTGCGTTCTTTTTAACAAGACTCATAAATATGCCATGATTGACAATAAAATATCGTAAAAGGTCATTGGTATCTTTTATTCATATTCACAGTGAGAGAATATTGTCACAAATATGTGCTGCCAAACATTACCCTCCTTGGAATTGCCTATATTTTATTTTTAAATCAAT